TCGGCGAAATTTTGGATGCCGCAAGTGGCGGAGAGCATCCGGGAGAAGCTGAGGCGACAAGGCGAAGACAGAAAGCGAGAATGAGCAGAGAGAGTAGGGAGAGGAGGAGGAGGAGCAAGGAGCAAGGAGCGGGAGGAGAGGATGAGCAGGAGGGATGGAAGGGAAGGACGTAGAGGGGGGGAGGAGGAGGAGGGAGAAGAAGAAAGTGCAAGAGAGGATGAAGGGGAGCAAAGAGGTTGAGGAGGAGGAGAAGGAGGAGGAGGAGGAGGAGGAGGAGGAGGAGGAGGAGGAGGAGGAGGAGGAGCACAAAAGTCAGCAACAAGTCTTTACTCTATTCGTATGCACTACATTTAATATTCCAGGAAAATTTTTCTCAGCTGGGAGCTCAGGCGCTCTGGGGGAGCTGGGGGGTTCCCTCGCCCTGCACGAAGACCCACTTCTTGCCTCGCTCCTCCACAGCAACGCACTTGGTTGAGACCCTCCAGAGAGCCTCGGGGAGAGGAGTGGGATCGTAGAGGTAGTGCCTGCGGTCATGGTGAGCAGTCGAAGGGCAGCGGAGTAGGAGGAGGGGGAGGGAGAGCAGGAGGGGGAGGGAGGAGAGGAGGGAGGAGGAGGAGGAGGAAGAGGGAAGCGGAGGAAGAGGAGAGGGGTTTGGGGAGGAAGCTTACTCAGGGAAGGCCTTGGCGATGGCTTCAGTGGCAGCCTTGGCGCGGTAATGCCTGAGAGGAAGTGAGGAAGAGGAAACGAGAGTATGAGAGCCAACGTGAGGGAGGAGCAGCAACAGGAGGGAGGGCAGGGGGAGCACGAGGGAGGGAGGAGACGGAGGCAGGAGAGCACAGGGAGCAGGAGGACTCACGGGATGGTGCAGTCGATGTGGTGGACGACGTGGGTGGAGCCGATGCGGTGGTGGAGGAAGTCGAAGATGGGGCCGTAGGGGCGATCGATGGACATGAAAGCTCCCTTGATGAAGTTCCAGTTCTCCCCGGAGAAGTGAGGAACGTCGGTCTGCAGTAGGATAAGGAGAAGGACAAGGTGGAAGGGGGGGGGAGGGAGGAGAGGAGGAAGGGAGAGTGAGCTAGGACAGGAGGCGAACTGTACGAGGTTGGAGAGGGAAGGGAAGTAGGAGGGAGATTCTCAAGGAATTTCTCACGTCAGTGTGCTGGAGCCAAGTGTAGAGGACGAGCCAGCAGTTGGTGACGACGTAGGGACCGAGATAGAGAGCAGCCATGTGGAGGAAACCTGAAGCCTCTATCACCATCCTCCTCCTCCTTCTCCTCCTCTCCGAACTTACCGAACTTAACAGACCAGGCGTAAAGGAGGCCGAGCATGCCGACGATGCCGATGTCAGAAAGCCACACCTGAAGAATCGTGAGGGGAAAGAAGGAGGAAGAACGAGAGACCAGGGGGGAGCAAGGAGAGGGGAGGAGGAGGAGAGTGGAGGAGGAGGAGAGGGGAGGAAGAGGGAGAGGGGAAGGAAGAGGGGGAGCGAGAGCACGACACGTCACCTTCTTCTTCCACACTCCAGGGAAGAGCTCGGTGTTCTTGTCGCCAGTAGAAAAAGGCTTGACGGGGATGAAGTGGTTGGTCATGCCACGAACGGGTCCACCAGTGACTCCAGCAATCTGGAGACAAGTCAGCTCGAGGAGAAGGAGGAGGAGGAGGAGGAGATGTTGGTAGCACATGTCAACTTACAAGGTATGCAGGCCATCCAAAGACGAGGTGAGAAACGACGCGGTTGGCACCATAGATCGCTTCTCCCAACTTCTTGCCGAAGATCTTCTGCATTGTGCTCAACTTGCCAAGAGTACCCTGTAGAGTTCAAGATAAGAAGAACAGTAGGCAGTGTGAGAAGTGAGAGTGAACATGGCGACAACAGACATGTACAACTTGTCAAGAACATAAACTGGTCCACTTGGCAAGAGCATACCAGACAACATTTCAATCATTCATCGCATCTCGGGACATCATGGGAAGGCGAAATAGTCAAGTCACCTTGCCAGTCTCCAGGGTGTAGGGGACGTGGGTCTCGCCCTCGAAGATGTGGTTCGTCTTTGAGTGATGGACAGCATGCGATCGCTGCCAACTGCACCAGAGGATCAGCAACGGCGGTCAAAACGGAGAGGGAGGGAGGGAGGGAGGGCGTAGGAGGAGATAGAGGGCAGGAGGGACTAGGGATGAGTAAGGAAAGGACGAGAAGATAGGAGGAGGAGGATGGGGAGGAACGAAGAGGGGAGGGAGAGAGGGATTACTCACGAGAAGTAGGGAACAAGGAGAGCGGTGTGGAAGAGCTGCAGGGTGGCAGATCGTCAGCAGGGATCAGGGGCAGCAACAACTTTTAGACTCACGTATCCGACAGTGTCCTGAAGGAGCTTGTTGTCGGAGAAAGCTCCGTGTCCGCACTCGTGCGCGATGACCTGCGAAGATTGCATGTCAGACAGTCGAGGAGAGGAGAGGAGAGGAGAGGAGAGGAGAGGAGAGGAGAGGAGAGGAGAGGAGAGGAGAGGAGAGGAGAGGAGAGGAGAAAAAAGGGAACCAAGGGAGCTCAGAAGGACCGTGACATGTTCTTACCCAGCAGCCGGTGGCGATGGTGCCGGCGGCGTACCAGTAGAGGGCCCAGAGAGGCAACATGGCCAATTTGAGGGGAAGAAACATCCACGCGAGGGCTCCGACTCCGAGAGTGAGAGCAAGGGAGATGCCCGCATACATGAGCGAGATCTGCGGCCAAGTCAGTTCTTGCTCCCTGTCCTCCTCCTTCTCCTCCTCCTCCCCACAGCCTTCTAGTTTTCAACCCCTCCCCTCCAACCATCTCCCCGATTCACCCCTCCACATCACTCGCCTTGTCATCGCGCTTCCAGCTGTCGGCAGGCATGGCATCGAACACTTGCTTCTTGTTAGGAAACTCCTTGTCCTTGAGCGCGATCCCGTTCAGTCCCGAGATGACGATGTTTGACAAGTCCCCGTACGAATCGCTCGAGGTCGAGATCGCGGAGGCCGTGGCTCTGCTGGCCAGAGCTCCAGTGCTGGGCCTCGAGGATCGGAGCCTGCTCACGGGAGAGAGTCGAGCAGCGCTCCCAGCAGGAAGGGGGCGGTAAGGAAGCCTTCAACGGAGCTGAGGGCCGCTGCTGTGGCAGCAGCCGCAAGAGCTGCACGGGAGAACATGCCAGGGACTGCAGGAGACGACTTGCTACTCACTGCAGCTAGAAGCAGAAGTCAGAAACGAGCGGCTAGCAGGTAGTGATACGATCACAGCATCGTGCTACACTTTTCTGGTTCAACCCTGCTAAAACTTACTCCGACACTACCCCTTCCTCATTAGTCCCAATCCCACGTCACTCTAGCCTTACGTTCTTGTTCTCCTCCACAACCTCCATTCAACTCTTTGCTGGACAAGTTCATCTCCTGCAGCCGGCATGATTCATCCTGCAAAGGCATCTTCTCGCCAACTTCTAATCTTCTCGTTCATGATTCGGACAAGGTCCGACAACGTACAGGAGAGACAGGGTTACGAGGCAGATCATCATCTGGAGTCAGAGCAGGCACGAGTCGGCAAGCAAGGAGGAGGACGAGAACAACAACAGGGCTATGTCGAGGAAGGTGCTCCAGCAAAGGACACGCACGGAGGCTGGAGCAAGGAAGAGCAAGGAGCAGGCCCAGTGGCTGGGGCACATGGCACAGGATGAGCAGGAGGGTGAGAAGGAAGGTAGAGTCGAGTACGGGCAGGATGGGAAGGAGTAGAAGAAGAGGGGGAGGGAGGAGGGGAAGGGGGGGAGGGGTGACAGATAACTTGTGCGCAGCATGGGAGGCGAATGGGGGCGGGGGTGGGGCAGGCCTTTGAATCCCTGAAGTGAGTTAGGGTGGTGGGGAAACGAGGGGTACACAGAAATTCAGTGGGGTGGTTGGTGTGATAAGGGTCTTGGATACCGCATATTGGACTGATACTTTCAGTAAGAATATGGGGTGGTAATATTTAAATAGGGGTACTCAATTACTTTGAGCGCTTTGGAATGTTCACAATAAAGGTGGTGGGGGTGTTGTGAGTACCGGTACTTTGTACTGTATCTTTGTTGAAATGTACAGGTGGGTGGGATTGAGAACTGCAGGGTACGGGGTGCCTGATGGTCGAGGCGATGGTGGGGTACCAGTAAGAACCCTGAGAAAGATCTCCAGGGGTGGTTGCTGACATTGGGGTAGGGTAGTCCTCACGGCCCTGAGTAGGTAGGGTCCAAAGTTAGGGGTATTGTCTCAATGGATCAAGGGTCATACTACCCATCCTACCCCAAAATTGCTGATGAACGCCACAGATACATTCTGTCATACAAAGTTCCTAGAGACCAATGATAGGACGCAGCTGTACTTCGTAGAAAATACCAGTGTTTCGAGTCATGAAGGGGGTAGGGGTGGTCCAATTCAAAGTTTTGTCAGCTGGTCTTGCGAGTTTCGACAGGTAGGTCAGCATTTGTGGGGTAGGGGTCCTTTGATTTGTCCGGGGTAGGTGGATACAAATCTGAAGGGTGGGTACTGGCAAATCTTAAGGGGAAGGTAGGTGATACAAACCCCTGATCTTAGCTACCCCTACCCCTTACTTTCCCCATAAAGGGTATGACCCCTTCTGGGATCTCCATAAAGCAGAGCCCACCCTACCCTAGGAGTCCACTCTCCACACTACCCCTTGGTCATCCAACCCACCCCCTCTTTATTATGCATTCGTCTCCATGCTGACTTCTACCTGGCGGTGAGTAAGCCACCCCTACCTCATTTCTATCACCCCTACCCCTGCATTATACCCACCGGTCAGATTCCAGAAATTCCTGCAAGAGGTACCCACCTATCAAGAAATAGTCAATTGGTGATAAAACTACCGGTGATCATTATACCCATACCCCACCCTTCTCACACATACAGGGGGCTTGAAGCGTTCGACGCTAGTGGTGAGGAGCTATTCAATTGGGGGTAGGGGTAGTAGACCACGGCCATCCACCACCCCACCCCCTCTTATCAACTATCCACAAGGCCCCCTACCTCCCGGAACCCACCGTACCCCCTCGGACAGCTAGGGAGCCACTACTGTGTCGGGCCATCCATCCATTCAGTAAAATGAGATTGCCCTGAGGCGGGCTGCACCCACTGAGGCCCAGCCAGTGGCCGCAATGGCCCGGCCCGTTCACGGTGAGCCGTCCGAGAGTCGGAGCGCCGCCGAGCGCCGAGCGCCGGGCATCCCGGCTGCCGGCCCCCGGGGCCCACTGCCAGGCCTCTATCGGACAGTGGCAACGCCGCCCAGCCTTCAATCGAGTCGAGTTGCCGCACGCGACGGTCACCCGCCCGGCGGCGGCCGGACTCGGCGGCCGGGAAGTGGCAAGAGTCAGTTGAACTTGGGTGTGGCACGCTAATTGAACGGTACATGATGCTTAAACTTTTATTTCTGCACTTTGAGTCTCTCATACTCACTGCTTTTACAGCCTCGAGGGATGAGTTTGGGGAGCTGTAGAATACTGACTTGCTTCCTCATCTAAGTCGTCATCTGTCGGAGCAAAGTTGCCTCCTCCATCAGTATACTCGAAGCCCTGGACAAGCACAGCATCATGGACCGCACTGAGATGAGAGCTTTCGAACCTCTCCAAACTTTCCTCTTGCCACAACCTCGATGGCTTTCCCTGGAGTGAGCTCCTCTGCTGTGATATACTGAAAGGAAAACTCAGATGGGATCGGGGTCAGCACGAATGGAGCAATCCAACAACGACACAGTAGAATATCGTGATGCAATCAAAAACAAGACTCTGTCCAACAACCTGTCGTTTGAAGTAACAGTCGACAGCATGCCGAACATTCCTGTGAAGGATCCAGCGATTCCTCTCATGCATCTCGACTGCCATCTGGTTTCCAGGCCCTCAACACTCTGTCAATAAGCAAGCAGTGATCTACCTGAAACATCGGCTCATGCATTCTCATCAGGACGGATTTCTGTTTGTCTTTCCTCTTGTTTGCTTCTTCTCCGCTGAGCAAAACCTGCAAAGTGTCTTATGACGGTGCAACAAGTGTGATTGGACTCACTGTATGGCAGCCGCCGGTAAGCGCAGCTCGATCTGGATCATGCAGAAGCATCGGCAAGGTTCCTCCATGTACTGCAGCGATGATCCGGATACCTCTCTGACTCATCGTACGAATTGCTTCCACCTGCACATCCTCAGAATCAAAAGCGTCGGACGTCGTTTCAAGGGTGACCTCGGTCGCAGAGGATATCTCGTCAACGATGACAACCTGCAAGGGATGAGATCAGAACGGAGAGGCAAACAAGTTACACATACATGTGGGCTCTGATTTTCTACAGCTTCGCGCATTCTCTCATGCTGCAGATTGAACATTTGTCCATCTTTCTTGAGTGTTTCGACTGGGAGCCATCGAGCATTTCCAATGGCCGGATGTGGAACAATACCATCACCGCCGATCTCACAGGTCTTGTCAACGACCACAACGATCTGATTCTTATCTTCTGACAGCCTTCTTGCAAACTCCCTCAGACATGTAGTCTTTCCAGAGTTCGGCCTTCCAATCAGCAGCACGCTTCCTGTGCTCTGCAGCAAGTCGGGGGCAAGGGAATCCAGCGTTCCTTCTACAGTCTTGCCAACGCGGGCAGTGACTCCGATCACTGATGGAACTCCCTCAGAGCTCGTGCGGTGAGACAAGATGACAGAAAGCCTGTGAAGGGTCCCATCGATTCCAATCCTTCTAGTGGCAAGGAGTGAACCCGTGTGCGTCTTGGAGAACATCTCTGCAAACAGCGCGATGTCGCTCTGCTCGCAATTCACTTGAGCAAGTGGCTCTCTGTACAGCTGTCCAGTATGCGGATTCGCAAACACTGCTTCGGGCCATCTTCCCAGCTGCAGGTAGATCTCGTTCAGATCCCGCAGTTTGTCGCTGAACTGCTCCTGAAGTCTCGCCCTGACAGGTGCCGGAAGTTGCATCAACAAGGTCTCAAGCTCCCGCAGGTTCTGTTCATCACGGCTGCGCATTGAGGGCACATCCCATGTCCGCAGGATGCGTCCAGGTTGTCGATCCTCGCGACGGTAGCTCCCAAATCCCCTCCCTCCATGGTAGCCTCCTCTGTCATTGCCATATCCTCCGCGCCCCCTCCCTCCCCGACCCCTGCTATCAACGCTCATCCTCTGCTCATAGCCTCCACCCTGCAAGATTCACAAAAACAAGTTACCATGCTGGTGAACTTGTGAATGATAGAAAGACAAACCTGATACGCTGCTGCAATCCAACAAAGAATTGTGCATGTCAGGAAACGGAGTGACGAAGGAACACTCTTGGACATTTTCGCTCAAATCGTTGCTGAAGTTCGAAGTTAGCCCACACATGTCTCGACAGCTCTGACTTAGAGCGAGCATACCTCTCCTCTATCTCATGCAGGCTATTCCAACCAACCCTGAATGAAAGCAACGAATGAGAATTTTGAACAGCAGAACGATTGATAGTTTTGTATGCTGGATGGAAAAGTATTCTTCAAATTTCTCGCACAAGAATCAAACTGGTCTCATAGAGGAAAGGAGCATGATGGCAGATGCAAGGAGGAGAAAGGCGGGCAGAGAATCGGAGTAACGATCGAGGGACTGAGAGCAAGGGGGCAGCTTGATTGGGAGTAGGGAAAGGGGAGAAAACAAGAATGGACGGGGGAGAGGAGGAGAGGAGGAGAGGAGGAGGAAAGGAGCGAGCTGCAGGGGCTGCATGGAGTCAGCGGACGCATCCCTTTTCCGGCGCCATGCCGTTGCTCCTCGGGAGGTCCTGCAAGAGGGGTGAAGAGCATCAAAGGGTGGGTTGTAGTGTTGAAAGCCTGTAGATCACCGGTATTTTTACCTGTAAATAGAGGGGTAGATGGATATTTCAAGGGGTCTGATGTCCTTGAAAAGAATGGGAAACGGTAGGGTGGTATAGTCAGAAATACCGTTACAAGATCGTTATTCTCCTTTTCAATACACACATACCCTGAGGCGGGTTTGATTTTGAATAGGGGTAGGGTGCTGCGATTACGGGTCCATCGAAGGTAATTTGTAGGGGTAATAAGGGTATTATTTCCGAAGAGATGCCGGAGGAATCCGGGGGGTAGGGGTCATGTTGATGATGCCAAACATGCCAGAATGGAATGGACAGGCACAAAACGAGCGAGGAGGCAGAGGAGGAGAGAGGAGGAGGAGGGAGGGGGGGGGGGAGGGGGGAGGAGGAGAGGAGAGGAGGGGGGGAGGGGAGGGGAGGGGAGGGGGGGAGGAGAGAGGAGAGGAGAGGGGACGACAGGATAGTAGGCAGTCTGTGCGGGACAAGACAGTGCAAGTCCAGATAGGCAAACTGGACGAGACTAGACACTGCATGGATAGAACAAGGACAGCGAAAGGATAGGACAGGAAGCAATCAACGGCATCGATATTGAGAAAGGAGAGAGATATGCGAGGTAGGAGCATGAATGCGATGCGACACAGGCAAGCCAGTACCCTTTGCCATAAACAAGATACCTAGGGAGCGTGAGAATGCAGCAATCGAGCGAGACAAAATGATGAAGCAGTTGGGCAGATTGGAAGCAAGACGATCAGTTAGCCAGAAATAGGAATAAGACGTCAGGAGTACAAACAGGAGTGCGGAGATTGATTGATGGTGAAGAATCCTGGACAGTTGGTGAGATATACAGGAGCAGGAGTAGGAGCAGAAACAGGAGCAGGAGCAGGAGCAGGAGCAGGAGCAGGAGCAGGAGCAGGAGCAGGAGCAGGAGCAGGAGCAGGAGCAGGAGCAGCAATAGCGGAAGCAGCAGCAGCTTGACTCGCTCACTCTCTTGCAGGAATGAGGCATAGCATGTTGGTCGTTTCTTGCTTCCCTTGATCCTCCGCGTCCAAGCAGCATGGACAAGGGCAGGGGAGGTCCCCGCGCGTCGGGCAGGAGCAGCAGGGGAACGGGTGGGAGCCTTTTCGATGCACGTGAGACCGTCTACCTGGCAGACAGCGTAAGTGTCGTTTCTAGATGCGTTCGGCAAGGAGGAGAGGAGGATGGATAGAAGAAGGAAGGGGTTGCACGCGGGGGGGGAGAAGATGTTGAGAGACGGGCGATGTGAAATTGGTGGGGAACCCACAGGGAGTGGAGTGTGGAGAGGCTGGAGCGGGTCAGAGAGGAGGGGAAGGGCAGGCTGGGTGAGAGGAGATGTGGCGGGAGAGAGGAGGAGGAAGTTTAGGAGAGGGAGGATGTACAGGAGCGGAGGGAAGATTGATGATGGTGGGTGCAGGTGCGTGGAAGCCTTCAAGATGAGGGAGTCAACAAGATGCCGAGCAACTACGTCAGTTCGAATCCTCCTCCTGTTCCTCCTCCTCCTCCTGCTCCTCCTCCTCCTCCTCCTGTTCCTCCTCCTCCTCCTCCTCCTGTTCCTCCTGTTCCTCCTCCTCCTCCTCCTGTTCCTCCCCATCCTGCCTCCCCCACTCTCTCCTCCTCCCTCATGTTCTCCTCCGCAGGTGCTGGCTCAAGCTGATCGCAACACGGCTGCAAGCTCGAATGGGGCCGGAAGAGACACGATCTACACAACCGCCGACGGTCAACGCTCCACCATTGGAGACAGGAAGGAGAGATACACAGAGGGAGATGGGAGGACAGGACATCAGACTGGAGGAGGGAGGAGCACGCTGTACTTCAGGCAGGGGGATATGTAAGAGACATTTCCTCCTCCACCAGCACCACCACCAGCACCTCCTACTCCACCTTCAACACCAACACCAACACCAACACCAACACCAACACATCCATCAGCACCACCACCACCACCACCACCACCTCCTCCTCCTCCTCCTCCTCCTCCTCCTCCTCCTCCTCCTCCTCGTGCCCCTCGCCTTGCGCCCACCCACCCACACAACTTCTCTTCCTCTTCTTGATTATCATTGGTTCTGTTTTTCCCTCCTTTGTGACATCTTTCGCGTCTTTCGCTCTCATGAGTGATGACTGTCTGCTGGAAGGTATACAGGAGTGTATGAGGATGCGGACGCAGCTCCTGACGTGAAGGAGAAGTTCGCAGGTTGAGATCTGAGCAGGAGGAGGGAGGAGGGGGGAGTTGGAGCATGCTGTAACAGAGCTACAGGAGTTGGGGAGGACTGGCGAGCGCAGCAGGCGAGATGGGCCTCACGTGAAAACGGCAACGGGGAGGAGGAAGGGGGAGAGGGAGGGGGGGCTGGGAGACGGGCTGCGGCGGCATCTGGTCAGCGCGTGGATGCGCATGTGAACGGGGGGGTGGGGACGAGGGGGAGCAGGGATACTGACTCGAGGGACTCGACGAGATCCGTGGTGAGCAGTGGAGTGAAGGTGAGACCCTTGCTCCTTCCTCCCTTGCTCCTCTTTCCTCTCTCCTCTCTCCTCTCTCCTCTCTCCTCTCTCCTCTCTCCTCTCTCCTCTCATCACCATTTTCCCTTTCTCTTCCCTCCTCCCTCCGTCCTATCTTTCTCCCTCCCCTCTTCCTTGCTCCTCTCTCCCCCGCCCCCCCTCCTCTTCCTCCTTCTCTCCTACTTTCGTTGGATTACACTTACTCTGCTTTACTTCTCCCTCCTCCTCTTCTTGTATCCTTCGTATTCTCTACCTCTCCTCCCTTTCCCTCTTCCTCGTTGTTCCCCTCCTCCTCTCTCGCTGGTTCTCCAGGGAGGAAGGAGGAAACCAGGACAGAATCCCGCTCTCCTCCCTCCATGTCGTCGGTCAAGGATCTTTACGAGAGCCAGCAAAAGCAGCAGGAAGACAAACTTTCTGGAAGGTGCGCGACGACTTCTTTCATCTCGTGTCTCGTCTTGTCATAAGCTCCGGGTCGAGCTGACGTCAACATCGGCAGGCGGTTCTTGGATCCTGCCAAGGGGTTGGCGCAGGTAACGAGGAGGAGGAGGAGGAGGAGGAGGATGGGGAGGAAATGGAAGAAGAGGACGAAAAGGAGGAAGAGGGAGGCAGTTGGAGGAGGGAATGCGGAAAGGAGGGCAGGAGCAAGATGAAGGGAGGAATTTGAGATCTGTGTGCAGATCGAGTCTCTGGAGGAGAAGAAGGAGCCTGTAGTGCAGCCGGGGAGGAGCGAGTACAAGGGGAGCAGAATCGAGTGGGAGAAATTCCCGGAGGTCTCGTCCAATTGGTACGGTGAGTACCAGCTACTTGATCATGTGCAAGGGAAAAGGAGAGGAAGAGAGTAGAGAGAGAGAGAGAGAGAGAGAGAGAGAGAGAGAGAGAGAGAGAGAGAGAGAGAGAGCGAGAGAGTGGGAGAGGAAAGAGAGCCGGGGATTGACCAAGGAGAGGTCCGGAGAGGAAGGGAACAGGAGGAAGGGAGGGACGGAGGGCCGGAGATATGTTCGATGGAGGAGCAAGAGGTGAAGTTGGAGCAGAGCATTACGAGGAGCTGGAGGAGTTGCTTGAGAGGCTGCAAGTGGACTTGTCCTCAGGCTTTAACGACGCGATTGTGTAAGTGATGGGAAAGATGCGACAATGAGGATGACTGAGTTGCTCGACATGCCAGCCAGAACAGATTGAAGTCGATGGGGAAGAACAAGGTGAGTCAGCAGGAGGAGGAGGAGCAGCAGAAGCAGAAGCAGAAGCTGAAGCAGAAGCAGAAGCAGAAGCAGAAGCAGAAGCAGAAGCAGAAGCAGAAGCAGAAGCAGAAGCAGAAGCAGAAGCAGAAGCAGAAGCAGAAGCAGAAGCAGAAGCAGAAGCAGAAGCAGAAACAGGAAGTTGTCCGTTGATTTCTACCCCGCAGATTTTATCTCTCAAGAAGGATATGAAAGCTTCCCGAGCTTCAATAATGTGACTTGATC